AGTGGATGCTTAGTTTATTTTGTCATTCTGATCGGATTTTCTCTACTGTTCCGTTTTAATTTTAAATAGTTTTGCATTATGTGGCCGTTTGCTGTTTTATGGGTTTTTCCCATTTGCCTTCTTAAATTAAACTAAAGCGAAGTTAAGGCAAAATCATAGACAAAAGGGTTTCCCCCTAAGAGCCGAATAAAGGTAGTATATATATATATATATATATATATATATTGGAGAAAAATAGAGTTAAATTTTGCAAGTTTGTAACTTCGCAATAAATTGTCATAGACTTTTAAAATTTTGCAGGATTGTTTATCTATAGACATTGTGATTATATGTAAAATGTTAATTACAACCAATTGTTTATTACAAAGTTATTAGCGATAATTACAGATAGGTTGTTTTGCCACAGAAACATGTCAGGCTTGGTATTGTTGCAAGTGTGACATATTTTTGGAATTATCACGTTTGGGGCAATCGTATGCATTGCTGTTTAAGATTATTGATATAAAAACACTAATAACCATTTGATTTTGCCTTGCCAAACTCCATCGGCTCTAGAATATTTTTGAATAGCATTCTGTGGCAAAACGACGTATCTTCATCGCTGATAGGTTGTTTTGCCGTGTAATCTTGTAATTACCTTGTTTTGCCACGGAAAATCACTGGATTTTATGTATTGTGCTTAAAGATAGGTGGTGCTATTTCCGAAACAACTCATTATTGAGACCTGAAAGTTTCACAGGTAATTCAGACGTGTTTAATATACTCCCAAATGATATTATCTCCAAATTGACAAAAATTTCAATTACGTTGTTTTGCCATGGGACGGCTGTGTAGTAGAATGCGAGAAATCAGAAGAAAGCAAACATTAAAAAATTCATTCAGACATTTCGCTCATCTGTACCCTGTATGTAGTTGTAGACTATTGGTGGGATAGAGTAAGACATTGATGTTCGCACTGTATTCTTGATTGCAGGAGTTATCATTTATTTATAAAGCTATAGAGTTACTCAATATCTTTAAAATAAAAAACAACACCTGATTAATGTGACGCAAGCCCACGAAAGGACTGCAAACTCACATCACCAGGTTTCAAGAAACAGGGCGAAATAGACTGTATAACATGTAATTTGAGAAAAATGTGATTATGTCATAAACATAGCAGTACCTTTAATCTCATTATTCTTTTAGTCTTCAATATTCCATCTCTAAACCCTAAACTTATAGTCATTTTATGAAGGCTATTCTACGAGAAGCATATAAAACAGTCCAAATGTGCATTCATTTTTGATGAAATTCACCGGCCCTCTTTTGTTATTCTGTGGAATAAATAATTTTTTGTGTTGTGATTGGTCAATTTTGTAGACTATTGGTGGGATAGAGTAAGATATTGATGTTCGCATTGTACTCTACAGTATTCCATCTGTTTTACCTAATAGAAAAATATTCTTAAAAATGTAAACATAGGTATCTAAGGACGAAGGAAATGAAACATGATTGGCTAAACACGATAACATCTTTGATATATTCATTATGAATGGTTGCTTGTTGTTTGTTTACTTCCGGGAATCGGTTGGGGAAGAAAGCATGCATGATTTTAAAGAGAGAGAGAGTATTTGATTAGATCTACCGGTATTTTAATGATGGAACCGGTAGTTCCAATTGGAATGGAGGAATTGTCTTGTTTAAGCAGCTTGCTGAAAAGGTGCAAAAGAACACTGTACCACGGACCCTCATTATTGAATCAGAGATCGTGTTGGGCGAGGGCCTTAATGCTTGGCATTGTGTAAACATAACATCAATACCTATTTTGTACCAAAAAACTAGATCAGAGAACACTTGGTCCACCCAAAAGACAATATCTGAAATGAAGAAACTTGTGGTTGTGTGTATCAGGTTGCATGCTTGACTTGCACAACTTTACATAGGGGAAACTGGAAGGTTGTACAAAACTAGAATACAAGAACACCGAATTGATGTTAAAAACAACAACAGGTACTAGGACCAAATCAACTAGGCTGTCCGACTCACAGATGGTACACAAATCTGCAATCACTGATCACTCTACCCAATTGAATCACATACCCAATTGGGATGCCAAACTTCTTGGAAAAGAATCCAGCTGGTTTGACAGGAGAGTCAAGGAATCACTATTGATAAGAAATAACTCAACATGAATAACAACATGAATCGTGACACTGGAGGACATGAACTTTCACATTTATATGACAACATAATACAAAATGAGACTAAAAACAGGAAGGGGCCCCCGAAGACGACCAGTAGATGGAACAGGCACACTTCAACCTTTACAAAACACCAGGGTGACGTCAGACCAAACTGGATCTAACACCACCAGTCTACCTGAATAAGTGATTGGAGCATTCACTAAACATATGTAAGTTAAATTACGACTCTTTTTATTGTGATCAACAAAAACTAAGTACTGTATATTGTGCCATCTTCTTTGGCTAGGTTTACCACATGCAAATAAAGTATTGCATGATGGTTCTGCATGGTAAAGTCTCTGAAAAAAGTCTCTTACCGAATTAATCTTGAGTTCTAATCTGGTACTACGTGCCATTGCCATTCCTGCCCAACTGTCAAATCGTTCTGGGTTTACACACAGGTCATGCAAGTAGAACTTTATAGCTTTCCTGTGAAAAAAAATTAACCAAGAGACAATTTAAAAAAACAAAAAACAAAAACATTTGGACAGTTCACAATAACTTAATAATTTTAATAACTTAAAAAGGCATTCAGACATATCGAACACACTACTACAATGAACTGCACCGTAAGTTATCTTATTAGAAAAAGCTACCAGTATATGCAGAGTGAAAATTACTCTAAAATGTCGCTTTCTAATCTGGTTAGTAGTAAAACCAACAAAGCTCAGCAATTTAATAATTATGTTTGCTGAATAGACATATACTAATATAGTTGTACTAACAGGTAATTATCAGAATCGATTGTGATTGTTTGAGCAATGACAAGGAAGATACTGTGATTGTCAACTGTTTGAAAGACACTGTGGGCAATTATCCCCCTGAATGCAAGTTAAATGAATTAGACGTGGCCGAAAGAGTGTATAGTTCTATGCGCGACGAGCATTTCAAATCAACAGATATACTGAAGTACTGAAGTATAATTGTAGTATGAATGATATGTTATGCCAAAAATTGACTAGGTCATTTTATTCTATGTTTTGCTTTTATTTAATTTTTCTTATTTAAAAAAAAAATTTGAATTAATTTGTTATTCAGTTCATTTTTATTTGTGATTTACTGATTTTAGTACTCAAGTCTAATAATAGTATGAATGTCATATGTTGTGTTTAGAAAAATATATCAGACCGAAAATGCACATAAAAACAATATAAAAACATAATTTACTGGTAATCAAAGTTGCTGTGTATAGTACAGCAAAACAAATAAGTGCTCTACAGGTACATCTTATATGTCAAATAATGTGTTAACAAACCCACAGGGCTTTGCTATGCCTATTTCAGTGGCTGGCTCTAGCTAGGCCTACAACAGGCTTGTTCAGAAAGGTTTCAATACAAATGTTCTACAAACCAAACTGTACAGAAAAACCGAACATCATAGTCGCTCCGGAGGGTGAGTCGGTATTTGGAGAGTGGAATGTAGTAGTAAAGACTAACTTGTCCAGCTCCTCTTGGCTTTTACATGAAGCAAAGCCACTCACATCTTTAACTGAACAATTGCTGGAAAAATTATTTTCTTAAGCAATGTTGTAGGCCATAAAGAAATCATCGTCAACCAGACGTGGACACTAAGCTATATACTGGCCTTGTTGGCATGTGTTAAATAAAACCAATATTATATGGCACTATTACTATTTTCAGTAAAACCAAGTCTACCCTATTTTGTAGGTTAACGATGGCTATGCAGTCAACAAAGTCTCCTGCCCTGATATGCTCCCATAGAAAGAAATCATCACAAAGCTACTGAATCAGAATAAAAGCTTGATGATACCAGATTTGACACTGCTTTGTAGTATCATACTGGATAAAATTTTTGTTTGGATTTAAAATATTGTGTGTTATATTTTTGGGATTGTATACGGTACTTACCCCCATTCCTTATTCTTAAAATTATAGTCTGCAAGTAAGTAGTAAAGTTCTTGCACAACATGTCTGGAATTAAACAAAACAAAATTGTTATAAAAAGCAGCACTTTGACCCAATTTTTTAATTGTGTAAAATCTCAGTAAATATGGGTGCCATTAGATTAAAAGTGCTCAACAATAATTTTTTGTGGGTATGTTACAAGCTGGCAACAAGGTTTACCTTCATCACCAGCTGTCAAAAAAATGAATTTTGGATTTTAGTGCCACACTTTCAACTAAATACTCTCTTACCCCAAAAATGTATTTTGAAGCTAGTAAGTCACTACATAATTCAATTTGAATATATTTGGTATCATATGCAAACTAATGTCTATCTAATGATGACATTATGACACATATAATATCATTTTATGACCCCAATATTACTAACAAACCTTTTAGTTAAATTTCATGTTTATTAAATATGAAAAATATTAAGCTATCAAAAACATTTTAGAGTCTACTAATACATATAAAATAAATATAATCTTTTTTCTCCGGCAAATTGTGGTTTTTCTCCTCGACGGGGGTCTTGGCCCTATCGGCCCCACCCCCGCTGGCACTACTGTACCCCTGACTAAGCTAATAACATTTTTGTTGGGTATTTTCTCAAACACAGACCACATACAATAAAAAATCTATATAAATGTCAAAGTTTATTCCTATTTTATATTAAAGTATGCCAAAAGTCATTTCCCATAAAAATGGTAAATTTTACACTTTTTACCAAAAAATGAAGCTAGTATGTCACTGAAAGACTCAATATATCTGGTATCATATTCAAAGCTATTAAAATTGTCTATCAAATAGTTTACCTGAGGTTTAGGCGAGACTTTTTATATACCGTACCTTGTTTAGCGAACCCGCCGACTGCAAATATTGATGATTTTGAATAAAAATAAAATTTCATTTTTGGCAAATTAGCGCACCCACCACCATGAAAAAGTGGAAATTCCAGAAAAAAATAAAAGTTTTTCTTTATTTTTATAACGCCCTCTGCGCCTTGGCCTATATCACATCTTTTACATTAATTTGCTTTAATATAGTGTACAAATATTGTCCAAATGTCAACATTAAATTAAAACCATTGAAAATTATCAATTACTGGGTACAGTACAATCGATAAATAAGCAAAACATAGTGTAAAGCTATTGAGGTTATGATTGTACTGGGTGCGCAAGATGGTACAAACGACTGGTATATACAGTAGCATCTCTAGATCCCCGGAAATGGCACTTTAAAACTGCAAAAATGCTGTTTTTAGAGCAGTGTTTCAAGACAAAACTATTGGCTTCTCCTTGCCCAGGGGCGGATCCAGAGATGTCCAAAAGGAGGGGCCCCCTTTCGGGGTTGGGGCGATGGAGTTGGGGCGATGGAAACAACACTTCCCTAGGGGGTCCGGGGGCATGCCCCTGCAAAATGTTTTTGTTCTAGATGCCCGAAAAATAACATTTGAGACATTCTGGTCTATCATTTTTTCCTTTTTCTTTCCTTTCTTTTTTTACCTCACAAAAAATGGGGGGGGGGGCCCGGGACCGGGCCGGCCCCACCTAAATCCGCCCCTGTTGGCGGTAAAGTTTCTGTATACTCCTTCCTCAGGGGGTAGATCCTGGACTAAATCAGACAATCTTAAGATTAATATACTCAGTCAGGCATATGACATTGAAAATCAAATTGGATGTGTAAAATTGTACAAATGAACACTACCATGCCCTAGCATAACATTTAAAAAAACAGTATGGAATGCAAATTTAATTTAGGTATGGCACACAAGTATAATAAAATGCTCTTACAATTTTACTGGTTTGTTTGGAGGTATACAAGGAACCACATCTGTTGTTCCATCAATGAAGGCCTGTAATGATTCTATTGTGTTGGCAGGGTTCTGTTGTTCAGGAATGATGCGAGAGATCTTGAGCAAGAGACTTTCCAGTTCACTTGACATTGTGCTGGTCTTGTAACTGTCAAATTCTGGCAGAATCTTGGGTTTGAAGTATTCAAACAAAAACTTGGTGTCCTCCCAAAGCAAAGGTAGCTTAAAAATTAAAATAGATACTGTACAATAATTTCATTTGTGTTTTTGGGGTGATTATTTTCAATATGCCCATTATTATACACACAGAAATTGAACTCATGACCATATAGTTAAATCACTAAATTGATTAAATTGTTTTACCAAGGCAATTCAACCCAAAGATGCATAAATAAAGGGTTTTAACTATGGCATTGATATTCTATGCATCGCTTTCGCCTTCATTTTTCAGAGCGACACAAGGAGAAGAAAACAGCGAGGGGTGCTTCAGCTTCACTAACAGTTGGCTTTTTGGCAGCGCCAAGTCCTAGACATATGTTTCAATTGTCAACATTAATTTTACAGTGGTGGTAGGTGGTGTACAGTGGTGGTTCATGAGAAGAAAAAATTAATTTTCTGTATCTACTCAAATGTTTGCTTTGTGCACCTTATTCCAACGTTGTTAAAATGACAGTTTAATGTTATATAAGAAAGCGTATTTTTTCAAAAATTGTACATTTTCATTGCTTAAACTTTTCATTGTGTTGGTCATTTACACGAATCAGATTGTATTTTATAGAAGCACTTAACAAGTTTATAGTCAAAAGAAATCAGATGTAACAGACATTGCCAAGTGCCCAAAATTAATAAAAAAGTAACGAACAACATAAAACGTATGGTATGCATACACTAATATGTCGATGCCAGATTAAAGATCAAAAGGCTGTATGCAAACTCTATATTCGCATGCAAAAATTAGCCTCCTTTTATTGTATGCCTTGGTTTTATGTTTTCAGTTAGAAATCATTAAAACTAATTCAAGTTTGGTTTGGAAGCTCATTCCATGTCTTCACATATGCTACTAGTGCACAAGCTTCCATTAGAAATACCCAAGCATCCCTAATCAACCATCAAATCACTAACTGTGAATAGAACTATACCTCATCAACTCCATGATCAACAAGATGTTTTGCCTTCGCCTTACGGTTGGGATGACTATACAGACAGTAGAAACTCTGCTCCAGAGCATGTTCTAAGTCAGACTGAAACGGATGAGCATCTTTCTCAGGTCGATTGAAAAGTTCTTCCTCCAGAACAGAGACGTGCAATTTTAAAAAGACACCCTTGTCATTGCAACACCATGAACGTCTGCAAATAACACATATGGATGTTTGAGAGCTATATCTTCATTGCAGCACATAGCACCAGGCAATGCTAACTTACAGGGTGCAGGATGTGTTAAGTTTCACTTACTAGGTAAAAAAGCTATATTCAAAGTGGGAGGTCATATATATAGTTATTATTGTTCCTTCTAATTTGAAGTTCTAAGGAAACTGCTTTGTTTCTAATACATACTCACCTGCCAAGATACTCATGAGCTGTTAACAGTAACATCAATGAAGAGGGCAAGCAGGGACGATTACTTTCTGATGTTGAGTCACTAGTATCTATCTTCATCGATTCTATCTGATCTTCCTCACTATGGATTTCCGAAATGTAAAAAATAATGTTGGCAGTTAAATCTAAAATTGAGTGTTCAGTACAGTTCTTACACGAAATAAAACTATATATCGTTTACAAACTAATAAGTTTTAAAATAAAGGTTTTGAAACCTATGACATAACTCTTACAAAATCTCCATACTACCGAAAATAATCCATAAAGAGCCTACATAAACAACTATAATCCTAAACATACCTTGGTATATATTTAATCCACTATTAATACCAATATTTTTATATTAAAAATTTGTAGGTATCAAAATTGCATGTTCTAAATGGATTTTTTTTTTTTTTTTGGAATTTTAGTATTTGGATATATATTTTATAAACAGATACTGCAAAACTTTGTCCTGGGTCTATTCTCGATTTGACTGGACTACACTACTTTCCATATCATCCTTACAAAACCATGCCACAAACATTATTAATCCAATCACCTCATGGATAAAAAGCAAGATATAATTCTTGTACATACTGCTTGATTAACTTGTAGAGAAGAATCCAAGGGTAGACTGTGGATACTTGTCCAAATTCACCAACTTCTGGTGTCTCCATTGCGATCTCAATTATGCGGATAAGATTGCTTGTTAGTCTTACAAGTCGACCAGTTTCAAGTTTCTTGATAATGGATTTATCTGAAGCAAATGTCCTGATAAATAAGAAAAAAAAATAGTCTTGTTACGTTTAATCAAATAACACAATATATGAGGTTCTATATGATTAAAAAGCAAATTGTGACAAGTCGTCTGACTATTATTGTGGGAACGTTCATTATCTCATTTCTCATTACAAACTGTTTATGAGTATATACTGCGATATTAAGACATTGGCGGTACACATGTTAGGTATTTCTTGCCATCATTCGGCACTGCAGAGAAATTACAGCCTTTCCCAGATGGTGTCATCAGAATGCCTATTGACCAATACTACCATTAAAAACAGTCAATCTGTTTCGTGCATGAGTAATCAATGTAGGTTGGGCCTAGAGCTCCAGGTATCTAAGCTTTAAAGAGGATTGATCTAATAATGATTTTAGGAAAAATAGTATATTTTTTGTGTGTGATGATAATTTTTCATCCTGAAATTCCAAATTTTTTTAATGAAATAACTACCCTGCTATATATAGGATTGCCTGTCAATATTGATCCATTTTACCCTTGATACTGATATTTACTTTCACTGAATATTTCAATTTAACGTTCACATCTTCTCAAAATCAGTCTTGTACATTACAGTGTAATGCTTTATGGCAGTAGGACTTAAAGAGGAGATATACAAAGGTTTGAAAGAAATGAGATACAGATGGTATGCTGGATGTGCCACGCCAGACAGGATGATAGAGCCCACAAAATCATAGGGATTTCAGGGACTATATGCAGATGTAAGGGAGGGGAAGTATCTCTGAGAGGTGGACATGTTGTACTCTGTAGATGATTTCTGTAGAGTAGTTCTACTGTTTTGGACCCAACCTGATATCTAGCTCTCACCTGTGGCTCCAAGTAGCTGTTTGCATTCCACATTGACCACACCCTGGTACAACACTTCGACTGGCAGAGTAAAGCAGGTGAGGGTAGCTAACAGGTATTTTACCCTAGGTTAATTTGAGGGGTTTGTCTACCCCAGCATATAAAGACTGTTCCGGCAATTTGGAGTGGAAGTAAAGGTTTACTTAAACTGTCAAGGAGGTGGTACTGCAACATTCTGTAGAAAGCAAAGAGCATAGCCAGGCACTAGACGCTATGGCCATCCACTGCAGCTGAAGAGGCCTCCGGTTGTAACAATCTCTGTGCCACTGAATACATGTCCCTTAAGTCGAGAGACTGGATATATCCCAATGCAAAGATTCTTCAACTTAAAATATTTGTATGCACTTCTTGAGTGCATATTACCAATCGAGTCCTGCGGCAATAGGTGACCACTGGCAGTCGTAGTTACAATCCTGCATGTTGGCTACTATGGACATTAGTCGCTTTCTTTCTGATAACAAGGACAGCAGAGGAATTCGGCGGAATGTCTGAGCAGCCCTCTTTAGGACCAGCACTGCTCACCCTTTAATAGTGAGCAGCCTACAAAACGTGACCCAACCATTGCCTGCCCTTACTATCTGGCCAGTTTACCGCGATTGGCAGATCATCCTATTAGTGGTCGAAACATAAGGAAAATAAAGGAAATAAAGAAAACAAAGCTCCTTCAAAATGAAGACAGAATACATGGAGTAGGATTTGCTATAAAATCCTGCCTTATGAAAAATCTCCCAGATCTTCCAACTGGCATCAACTAATGAAAAACGGATTCCTTTCATACAAAATCTCTTTGCAACACTCATCAGTGCTTACGCCCCAAGCCTGTCCAGCACAGAGGGGAGCAAGAAGCAGTTCTATGCTGATCTTAATTTATTACTTCATTCAATACCTACCAATGATAAGATCATTCTTTTGGATGATTTCAATGCTAGAGTTGGTAAGGATCATAATCAGCGGGAAAGAGTATTGGAAAAACATGGTGTTGGCAAGATGAATTGCAATGCTTTATTTATCCTGAAGCAAATGTATGGAGCACAAATTCATTATTACCAATACTGCTTTTAAACAAGCTAACAAGTTCAAAACAACTTGGATGCACCCTTGATCCAAACAGTGGCATATGATAGATATTATAGTCTATAGAGGTACTGGGACCAGAAAGGAGAGTAAACAAAGACTGGTTTGAAATAAACGATAGGTAGATCCAAAAACTAGTCAAGCACTTGGGAGACTGTCCTGCAACATCAGCCTTATTCTGTATTCAGTAAATATTTATTTGTCATTTGTAAAAACATTTTACATAGAAATACAAGTGCTCATAAATAAATAATAGAAATATATTATAACAGGTAAAAATGTAAAAATATCAATATCAAATAATAAACCACCCCCCGATGGACACCATCCCGGTATTGCTCAGTTAAGGTTGCAGGGTTTATGACTAAACACAAGGTAAACGCTATCGTTCTCCCCTCACTTACAGGTATGTATGGTAGTGAATTCTGAAGGCTTTATCGTCGCCATACAAAGCAATTAGGTCAGTTCCACCAGCGTGCCCTTCGATCTGTCATGCACATATGCTGGCAAGATAAAATAACCAACCAAGAGGTCTTTATTGGAGCAAAGACCACTAGTATTGAAGCAAAACTTATAAATACTCAACTCCACTGGGCTGGTCACGTTATCCGCATGTAACCTACTTGGGTACCACAGCTGGTTTTCTACAGCAAACTATTAAAGGAAAACGAAACCAAGGCCAACCACAAAAGCAGTACAAAGATAATCTCAAAGAGGCTCTTAAATGTGTCCCATTACAACCACAGCAGCTTGAAAGCTGCTAAAAATGATTGAGCAGCAACTAGATCTGCCACTTCGAGTTTTGAGGAAAATCGGCGCGAGTTTCTGGCACCTGCTAGAGAATGGCGTCTCGTCCACCAACCCCAGCCCACTGATTTCCAGTGCACCATCTGTGCTCGATTGTGTGCATCAGCCTTCGGACTCGCGTGAAAATCTATCGGTGAACTGCACATCCGACGTCATCTTCGGCAACGACAGACAATATATTATTATGCAGATAGAGATATGATGGTTTGAGCACATAAAAAGAATGGAGGAAGGCAACTAGGCAAATAGAAGAAGCAGCTTTGAAGCTGAGTGTAAAAATTAGAATCTTGAGAAACATGGAATGAAGTCGTAAGAAGTGACTTTAGGCCAAAGAGCTTTAACACAGGAGGAACATGAAAATTTGTCATCTAATGAAGAAAATGTAAACCAGCTGCGCCCTCAAAATGTATAGTAATATTTTTTATCTAAAGTTATCAAAACAATTTTTACACAATTATGTGCATATTGTATTTATTAGCTACATTCCTTGGCCTATTACTATACTATACATATTTAATTTCTAAATAATTTATTATATTGTAGATTTTATCTTTATAAACATTATTATTACATGTTAAGGGTCAATGAAAGAAGGTGATTGATTATCAATTTCAGGAATCAAGCATAATGTAAATCAAAGACAGAATTTTTAAAGAAATATGAAGTGCTTTTCATTTCATCTTACTTGTCAATAGCAATGCAAACTTGAACAACCCCTTCAATCCACTCCTCCTTCGATGTGATATTAGTTGCATGGTTTATCTCATAAATGGTTTCAATAAGAGCAATCTCTGCACATGATAAACATTCCTAAAGGAACACAAAACCACCATGTTAAAAACATTATTGCCGTGAATTTTTTCTGCCTTGTTTCTCAAATCCGCCCTCTGGCGATAAAGATGATTTTGAAGAAAAATAACATTTTATTTTTGGCCACTTGGTACACACACCGCCATGAAAAATGGAAATTTCAGAAAGGATTTAATTAATTATTCTTATTGCGCCTGCTGCAGCTGCCTTGGTAACTCCCAAAATAATCTATATTTCTTTGTTAATAATGTTGCCTGTGATTAGTCATGCAAACACCATAAAATTATAATTACAGTTGTTGGGATGGTAGAGAAATGATATTGCAATGATTCTGTCAATTCAAATATAGGTTTATAAATGGTCATAGGAAAATGTTGTCGTAAAACAGCCTAAAATGTGCAGTAGAATTGAGTATTTTATTGACAAAATTTCCTAATATTTCTACTATAATTTACGGTGTTTGCATGTAAGGTCGGCAATATAATTCAAGTCCACTGCAAAAGATAATCGTGCTGTATGAGCATGTGTCATTTGGATTGATGAAAATTTAAAATTTCAATATCTGTTAATGAAGATGTAAATATATACACTGCACAATGAATATATTTTGGGTTAACACTTTTCTGTTTAATATAATCGAATATTTCATCCAAGTACCTGATACTCTTGTTGCTTTAACAATGATTGTAGGAGCAGCAAAATCTGAGATGGTCTTTCACTTGATTTCTGCTCACAAATGCTTTTGGATTTCATCAGTGGTTGCTTCAAAGATGGTAAAAGTATGGATGATACTTTCTTATATTCACCAGCATCAAAAAGCCTGCGCACTTCTTCCAGGGACTGCGTACGTTGCAGAGATTCTTTCTTTTTACATATTTGTTCTAGAAAAAAAACAACAACCTATCAATTTCCTGATAAAATGCATTTGGATGGTCACAAAAAAACTACAATTTTTTAAATCATGATAGAAAATTTATGGTAGGAGTCTATTACAATTATACTTTACACAAAAGAAAACCAAGTCTATTAAATGAACTTAAAATGCTGTTTATGGGGAAACAAATAAAACAAGTCTGCCATTTGACATGCATATGTCACAGCAGTTAATTTTCACACCTAATGATATTGTATCATCATGATTGCAGTTTGGCAGCACTACCACAACTGGTCCAGCACTTGAATTATCTTTGTACTGAGGAGTTAACAGTTCAGAGCACTGAAATATAGATAGAAAATGAAAAGTAATTATTTATAAGATACAGTTGTGCAATATGCAATATTCAAAGGAAAAACCAGATTTTCACACAAGGGAAATTATTTATAAATTTGTTTTTATCAAACATATTTTCATGTCCTGTGGCACAAATCATTTGACTGCCAAGTCTTCCTGTGTCACTTCTGAAACATTAAATCCGATCTAGTAACCTTCATTAGGTTTACCTCGTACCTAGCTAAGATTATTGAAAGAGTAAAAAGAACGACCGATTCTGCTAGGGTGATCGTGTGACGTACCTGTATAGCAGGTATAAATTGCAAAACAAGCAGCACAAGTGATGCTCTGTAATAGGAAACGTGTAGCTTTTCTGCTGTAAAGCACATATTTGTTGAATAATGTTCGCTGCAATGATTACCAAATTGGTTAGAAATTGAACTTGTGAATTTTGCCATAATGGTTTGCAAACGTTCAAAAAGATACTGGCCCAAACATTGAGATAATTTGAGAAATGCTAGGCCAAGGACCCAGCATATCTGCAGCCTGTTTAGGTATGAACAAGAATCTTCGATCCACAAACTGCGATTTTGAAATGCTACGATTTCTAAGCTAGCTAAGGTTTACAAAAACGCACATGAATTCCAAAGCATACAAAGCACAGAATACACCAGTGCCTTTCCTTGCAAGTTATTTCACATGTTATTTCACATGTTAATAGTGGGAGGTTATTTTCGCAACAAAACATTACCTTTTCCTATACTTTCACACTGATCGCACTGTAGGTTCTCAATAGTTATACCCACTATATCTCACGTGACCAGGTGTAAACAAACCTCAAGGAATCGTTCTATTGCCTGACAGTTTTTGCATTGTATAATTCTTAAATAGATAAATAATAACAGTGCTCAAATTAGGAACAAGATTTTATAATTGTTAGCCCTTCAACACTTTTTCTTCATTTATATGGGAAAAAAAATCCATCAAGTAAAGTTTTAATGTTATATTATCTGTTTACCATTACCTTTGGCAAAGAATGGACTATTCACTTGCCTGAGAATTAGTTAAAGCAATGGTATGCTTGGTCAGCACAGCATTATGGCTTTAAACAAATTTCCACTCAAAATATCATAAACAATAATATCAATTTTAAGAACATTTTATAAAAATGTACAGTGTACATTTACATGTTCCTGGTAATGTTCAGAGATTGTGTTGCCAAGTTGATCAGTGTTGAAATTTGAGTTCCCAGCGTAAAAAAAAAAGAACTTAGTAAAATGGTCTTAGCGCATGTATCTGCAGAATAAACTCCAAAAACAAGTGTTCTTTTAAACGGTAAATTCTTTCAAAACGTGTTTCTAGTGAAAAGAGCAACTAATAAAAACATGGTAATGCAAGCATTTTGGCAGGTGGGCAGAGCTTACAATGACGATCACCAACGGAAGTTGAAGTTGACCTTACTGTGAAAGAAGTAAACAACACACCGCGAAATTATTAAAAAATTACGGTAAAAGCCTCAAGCATGTCATCCTGTTGGTTAACTTATTTTCTTCAACCCGAATTTCCTGCAGATGAGCGATCAAACCAACGAGAAGGTCAATTTGGTTCACCGACGGGTCATGACTAACACGGTATTGGGTTGCAGTTGAAAAAGTGAACCACAAAACACATGTTTTCTGAACGACAACCCTATAACGAATGCGTGTTAAAACACATGTTTTTAGAATGCATTCCTAACAGTGTTTTTGTTTTTTGGCCCGTTTCTGCTGGCGAAAAAACATGTTTTTTAATAACTGTTTAAAAACACATGTTTTTTGGCTCAGCAAAAACAGGCCCTTAGTTGTTGCAAAATCAAACAAAGTGTATAAAGTAAAGTACAAAACATTTGATAATCAATCTTTAAAATGAAAATTGCAATAGTTTCAAAACAAGAGATTAGAGAATTAAGGTAATTGTTCAAAAGTAAAATCGTTTTTAACTCACCAGGTCAAAACTTTCAAGTGCACACTCCATTTTGCCATCAAGCACTAACAACCTAGCCTTAGCCCAGTAAACTAAAATGAAGTAAATGAAATATGTGTAAAATATTACGGATTCTGTTATTATTAATAAAATAAAAGTATTAATTAAGGCAACCAATCAACCAATCTCAGTTTTTATTTCACTTATACACCGAAAATGCATATAAATCTACAGGGTTGAAACTCCAGTTCTTGTCAGATTACAAAAAGTTATCAAATGTTTAGGGACCTGGCAGGTTTGAATGAATTGAGAAGCCGAGTGCTGCTACCTGCAGTCATTTGAGCGGGTCCACACTCCAGGTTTCAATTCCTCAAATAAAGGCTCTAAACCTTGCTTAGTGCACACAACTAGTTCATGTGCACCTTAAAGTACTCAGGACATCCTATGAAGAGAGAGTTGGGGGAATACACAAGTGTACTTGGACCATCTGGCCTGTGTCATTGCCAAGACATTAAGTGACCCTTAGATAAGAAGAAATATATACAATATATAAATACAAATATTGTAGAAGTGGTTGTGGCTTGGACTCCCAACCACAAGGTCGGGGGTTCGAAACTCTCACTGTGCAAGTCGCTTGTGTCCTTGGGCAAGGCACTTTATCTACGGTTGCCTCTCTCCACCCAGGAGTAAAAGTGGGTACCTGGTAGGTTCCAACACAACTGCGCTGATTACTAGCTGCAATATTATGGACTAATACTATAGTTTAATTTAATAATTTAATTTGGTGTTGAGTATGTGTTCCAGTGTTTGAGTGTAGATGTGGAGCGCTTAGAGGTTTTGTGCATGAAGTGCTATATAAGAACAACATATTATTATTATTATTAAATGTGTATTTATATTTATATTTTATACTTGTATATTATATTGAAAACTGGAAAATAAGATTTAAAATTTAATATACTGAATTGAAAATATTGTCTATTTGTACAGCAGTGTAAGTGCATACCTGATTTGGCAGCGTAGAAAGAATTTAATTACTTTTTTTGCCTGACCTTGTGTCTGCTTCTTCGAGTAGTGTGGGAATCGGGAAAATTTAGCACTGTATACGATAAAAGCATTTAAGTAGTTGTTTCTGATAATGGGCCTATATCAAATATACTCATTTTGTTCTTAAATTTTTATAATTGTATTGACGTAACCATGTTTTTAATTTACGAAATTGATTATAAATAAATGAATATTTAAAAATTTAATATTGTAACATGGAAGTGCAACACTCAAGGTATTAATTGGTTAATTTAATCTAAAAAACATCACAACAAACTACATTAGTTAAACCAAACTTCTATGTTACATGCAGATGGTTAGATCTGAAGCAGATTTTAGGCACTACTCACTGCCTGGGCCACCTGAATGCAGAGGTGGTTTGGAATATATTACTCCCAGAAAACTTATTTGTAAACAACACAACATGTAACGATAATCTCTGAAGATATCCGGATAGTTTTGTAGGTGGAAGGCATACTGCCAGTTTGTCTTTTAAAAGGTACATATACCTCCATGGTTTAAGGTATTATTACACAGGCCAAAGATTGAAGTCCTTATTACTGTATAATGTAAGCAGTGTTGCTGACTGTGTGATGCAAATTTTTCGGGCCTAACAAAAAGAAGCCTGAAACGGCCTTTGACAAGCTGGGTGCTGGAACATTTTTCTCTTTTTCTGATTACAGCTGCAACATTATGGGGCATGAGTGTTGTTCCATGTGCTTGATCCATTGACCAGGGGTAATAATGTAAAGCTCATAGAGGTTAGCCTACAATATGCGCTATAATATAAGTCAACAATTATTATTATTATATTATTAAATACACCCTTTACCTCTAATTGTGTACTCTTCATATTTGTCAGAAAGAACATCTGGTAATGTTGCAATTTGTTCTGTGAATGTCACATCTTGATGGTAGAATTGAGCAGGAAACTCATGTCCCAAGTCCGAGGGTAGCAGTTCAGAAGAGGTGCAAGTTTGAATTCTGATAACAGCAATAATAAGTGTAATATCATAGTAGGTCTACTGTACATCACTACTTAAATACAAAATTTCTTGTGATAATTTTCAAATTTAATTTTAACTTTTGCTCATGGTGCACTGGGATAGGCTATTGCATTATTTTTCAAGGTGAGTTCTAGATTATGGGAACAAGAAAATTAGTTTATCCAGGTATTCAAAAAAATAGAGCCCATAATATAAGAAAAATAAAACCACTTTACATTATCTTTCCCTCCCAACAGCAGTTGACAACTTATGAGCAATTCAATCCAATTGGTTTTCAGGGTTTTCTTGAGAAACTGCAATATTATGTATCAAAACATGAAGTAAATATAAAATTTACTCCATGACTATAATGAGCATTTTGACATGAATAAGATGCACCATAAAACAGTGTTACTGCATGTTGCAAGGTCATCTCATTGCTACTATAACATAGAAATTCTATAATTTAACTGTTTTTGTGTTTATTTTTTAAACGATTAGATTTTTTTTTGTATTTGATGTGACAAAATAATCAATTTAGTGGCTTCCACTTCTTTTCACTCGTAACCAAGAAAATATATTTTTAAAATCTTATGTAAAAGATTTTAAAAAAATGACAGGTAAAAAAAATGTTTATTTACCTTTTAGGTGTGATAGTTGTTGGTAAGTTTGATGTTTTCTCAATCCATTGATCTAGCTTTAGTTCAGCATATAAAAGTACCATGTTTCCAGTATCACAAAGACACTCAGCTGACGAATCATTGCTAATGGTTAAGTGAAACACAGTCTCATAGTATAATATTAATTTTAATGTTCGAATGGATTGGATTTATTCAGTGTAAACACCAAGGATAGCCCACGGAAGTCTAGAAGAAGACATATTTCTAGTGGGGTCCTTCTGGTGGTGATTGGGCAGTACACCGGGAGACAACCCCTACTCTTTTCCAAAGAGTGTACTGCATTCTGCATTCTCATCCGAAAGACGGTGCGCTGTTGTAACTTGTATTTCAGCCATCCAGCTTAAACACAGGGAGAGGAAGCGATGGGAATTGAACCGGGGACCTAGAGATCTCCACAGTTCAGCACACACATAGTGGCTACCACCAGATTACCCAACTCAGCTAAGCTACTCTCTAATGTTATGTAACATACTGCAGAACTGCATCAACTGTTATTTTTTGATAACATGACAGTGATTGAAGTAATCCTGCCTCATTGAATTACCTATATATTTGTTATGAAGGTGAAATTAATGTTATGATATATCCTGCTATAATGTTTTACTATAATAAAATTAAATCCTACTGAACACCTTGTTGATCAACTAAGATTATCACTAATTTTCTTTACCTTCTTCCATCAGATATTTAACTCGCATCAAATTAAAATAGTCATTAATACTAACAAGAGGGTGCATTCGCTTCACTCACTTACTCTCTATGTATGTGAAAGTTGCGACTAGTTTCAACAAAATGAACAATATGACCACTAAAAGAAGAAACGTTGCAAGGTATTGAAAGCAGTTTTACATCATTTTTCATAACATAAGAATATTTAGAAACAGCTAAAATGAGATGAAACAGCAGTAGTATTGGTACAGCGAAATATTTTGTATTCTCTCCATAATTTAGTTTGCACTAAAATTAAAATAACATGATTTGCAATAGGTAGGCCTACAATATACTGTAACATATCCGTGACCGGCTATGGCAAAACCCTCCATTCATCACAATTTATAAGTTCCTGCAAGCACCCAAAATGTTTGAGAATCAGAAATTTGAACATTGTTATATTTTTGCATTTTATAAAAGTAGATTTATTGAAGAACATTTCTGCAAAATATCAATCACCAAATCTAAATGAAAAGAATATTAAAATTATTTTTTAAATACAAATCTTAATAATAAACTATTGATTTTGGAGTCTTTGGAAGCTGTTTTCTAAAAAATATCTGATCAACCATGTTAGTGCTCTTCGTTTAATGTGCTTTTTAAGATACGGATTCCAAACACAGCTATTTCCCTCCAAATGAGGCCCACTTAGTGATTTGTATATTAGAAACATTTGCTGTATATACTATATGTGCTTGTATTTTGTACAATTAGTTCCAGTGTGTGCTGCAGCAATATTTATTGGGCTGGCCTAAGGACAAATCTCACAACTGAGATAATAATTATGCTGACTGGGGAAGGGCTAAAGGAGAAGTTCTCAAACATGATTTGATGTTTAAATTTTGTCAAAATCTGCTCTAGTGAGAGCGATCATTTCAACCATTTTCAGATGCAAATCAAATGCATAACTAAACAAATTTACTTGCCAATTATCTAACTACATGTAGAACAAGTTTAATTTTGCAATTTTTAATAATTGCCACACTTGCTTTAGGCGAGACTTTTATTCCTTGTTTCGTGTACTTACTTTTTTAAAGATTATTGGAGGAGGGCGGAATAAAAATAAAAATAAAATTTTGATTTCTTATTTAGCAAATAGTTTTGCCAAAATTATCCACACAGAGGAGAAAATAAACATAAAATTTTCTTGGTGAATGTAAAATAGGATAGTTAAATGCCTTAAATTTATATAATTAGGAAGAAATATATATATATCTTATCTATGGAGATTTCAAGGCAGCGGAGGGCATAATAAAAATAAAGATAAACTTTCATTTTTTTTATGAAATTCCCATTTTTTTGTGGTGATGGGGCGTTAATTGGTCAAAAATATAATTTTATTTATATTTTAAATCATCAATATTTGTAGCCGGGCGGGTTCACTAAACAAGGTATAATAAAAGTCTTGCCTTAATAGAGTTCATTGAATACACCATTCCAAAGTAATGTCATGTTTAAGAGCTCATTGAATACCCCATCCCAAGTCAAAATATTGTGTTTGAGGGCAATGATATCCAATACCCAGTACTAAGATGTATATGTGTTGAAAGCACAAAAATTGCGTCAAACGTTTGAAATGTGTACTGACAGTGACAGCAACTCCAAACCTGAAAATGCTGTTTATTGCTGTTTTCTTTAAATGTCAAGAACAAAGATACAATTTTTATATATAAAGATGTGTATATATTTTATTTTAAAAAGGTAAAAACAAGACTTACTTGAAGACAGAGGGCAGTTGAAGGTGCTTTCTAAACTTTTCATAACAACTGATAAACACAGACGCAAGACCAGAGGGCCTAAAGTAGAACACAGTTATATGAAGAAGTTAGTGCAAATCAATTAATACCTTTAAAAGCAGGTTCCTGAAGTTGTCTTAAATATCTCCTCTTGTTAAAACAAGCTGGTCTTGATGATGCATTAACAAATTTGGTTGGTTTGGGGTAAACTTACAGAACAGATAACTGTGATTTTGACCTAATAATATATGTCAATATAATACAGGCCCATTAGAACAGGTACAGAGGGTGCAGATGTGCACCTCACCCCCCCCCCCATTTTGAAAAGTTAATTTTTTTTTAGGGTCCACTATAAAGTCCAATTATCCTGATATGCTATCCATGGCATATTATTTGCCAGTTCTTCTAACAGTTGATTTTTGATAACTGTGGACAAAAGTGGTTTGAAATTTATCAGCTCCGATAGTAGTAGTAGTAAAACTTTATTTATTCACGAAGCACAAATCAACAAATACATGTTGCCTTTCATCATGGCTGTGAGAAACAATGACATTTTATAACACATTACTGTACATTATCATACAATAGTTAAAGTTATACACTGAATATTTAATGATAGATACATATTATACTTACAAAGATTGCAAAAAACCCCCAAAAACATATGAAAACAAAACGTCTACAATTCAATTAAATATAAATAAATATAATCTATACCTAAAAATGAAAAATAAATAATGGGAATGGAGAAAATCCATTTCACAAATGTATAACTGTAAGTTGCGAAAAAAGAGGAAAATAATATTAAATGAAACAAAAAAAACAAAAAAAAAACCAAGAAAACTAATAATTTAGTGATTTATACAGAGTGTTTATACAAATATACTTTAGTTTCATTAATTATTTTAAATGTGGTTCTTGAAAATACATAACAACTACAGTAATCATATTGTTAGCATTTGATGAAATTCGACTAGCTTTCACAAATTTCCCAAGTTCCAAACATTGTTGGGTTTTCCAGATTTTTAAAGGGTATCACCTATTCCCAGGACTTGTTAATTTTTCGCAGAGCAAAATTATTTAACATTTTCCCATAACAAACATTATTAGTTACAAATGCTTTTTATTCTAAAGTCAACAGCTATTTCTTGTCTGCATGTATATTTAAACAGTTATCCTCACACAATAACTTTTAAACCTACTGGTAACATTTCAATAATTATCTTAACCATATGTGACTGGCTCTGGCAAAACCCTCCATTTGTTGTAGGAAAAATTCAAAATTGAGTTTTTGGTGTTTTTAAATTCTGCATGAATTCTTCTTTAAAACAGTGTTTTGATAGAAATTGGTTGAGTATTACTGAAGTTATGAATATTTATTTCATTGGATATCAGCCATGTAGGTTTTGAGAAGACAGCTTCCAAAATTAATAGTTTATTATTAAGATTTGTATTTTAAAATTAATTTTAATACACATCTCAGTTAGATTTAGTGATTGATATTTTATAAGAATGTTCTTCAAAATTTTATAAAATCTAAAAACAAAAAAAATGAAAATTTTCAAAATTTGATATCTCAAACGTTTTGGGTGCTTGTGGGAAATTAAAAATTGCGACAAACAGATAGTTTTGCCAGAGCCGGTCACATATAAGTACAACCCTGTGATATTGAATCATCTGCATATATTTTCTTTTCACTCTCATCAAACACGAGTGACTTGTCACTTACAGGATGAAATAAAAGTGATGCTCTACAAATGAAGTCACGTGAGACTTAGGATGTGGAGTTGTTTGTCTTGACAAAACATATGATGTTGCAATATTTGATTGTAAGGCAAGCATCTTGATCAGCAAGCTACACCTCCATATAGAAGTGTTATATTCAATGATGTAATGCCTGATTAAACAGTGGGCTCTTGTATAGCACTTCAGTAGTCCTTTACAAACAACTTGTGTGTCACTTGTGTGGGAATGGTCAAATATTTTCAATCACAACTGTACAAGTTCTTCGTATTTATTCGAATAAACGTGGCTCCACTTTTAATGAACGCCTCCCTCGAAAAAATGCCTCTCTAAAACCTCATTTTGAATAAACGCCACTCTCGAATATAATCCCGGAGGCATTTAATTTTTCCTCAAATAAACGCGCTGTAAATGACTGTAAACATCATTCTCAACACAGTCTATTAATGTTCTGCAGTAGATTTACATTAAATTTTTTAACCTGGTTTAGACGGTAATTATGGTTGTAATTCCACATTTACAGTGAAATTAAGGGCGTTTATTTGAGTACATACATACCATATAAATATAACAAAAATACAATAAATTCTAAATAAATTCCTCCCCCGAATACAGTAAATTCCCCCTCAAGAACCCGTCTAAAAAATAAACGCCCCAGGGCGTTTATTTTAATAAATATGTCAATCACATTTTTGAACACATGAAAAAGTATCATCCATCAATATTTTGCATAAAATTTTCACATATCTATTATTTATCCAGAATTGCAACAACAAAACAGCCAAAGAATGTGAGCATTTTTGAAAAGGTAAAGTTTAGTCCTTGAGGGAGATCCATCTTTAGCTAATTGTGTCATCATCCAGTTATATGTAACTTTTACAAAATAAATTAGCAGCTGGTTTAAACAAATGAGTGATTAACAGCTAAAATTTAAAATCTCATAAATTCAACAACAAATTTCCTATCTGCAAGCACTTTAGAACATGTATCATAACATCCCTTGTATTTAAATTTCCTTTTTATGATTACTCATATTCTAAACAATAAAATTGATTGAAGCTATTGCCAATAAAAGTTTGTCTCCTCTCCTATCAAGTCTGGTGTTCAATAACTTTATTATCTCATCAATGTCATATTCATCACAATTCAGATGTTGAATATATTTTGTAACTTGTTCAAAGAAATGTTAGTTATTTGTCACTTTGAAAAAAACACAAGCAACATATAAATTGCATTAATTTAACATTCGCCACACATTCGCTACTTTGTGAAGAAAAAAAAAATCAAACCAACTAACATTTTTGATGTGATGCGTTTTAGTGAGTAAAGTGAGAGCCTTAGGCCACGGGACCTGGGCCATCTTGAGATCCCTGGGGGTGCAGGGGCAGAGTTCCTGTGGAGGTGTGAGTGCCAAGCTCTCAAGCGCCGATAAATTTGCATTTTCAGTGGATTTCCCGTACGATTTAAATCGAAACGGTACTGGGTTTGGTCAACAGGAGCTCATGCTTCGTACAGGTCATTCCATTCGTAGAAAAAGCCTTTTAATGGTGAAAGCATACCTGTCCTTAGCCATAGTAGCCTAGGTCAATACATAACACCGGCTGTATAAAATTTATTATAAGATTGAAAATGTTAATCTTATTATTGTAGTAAATATTATGTCTACGTTTTAATTATTGTTATATACTTAGTTAATGTAATTTAATTTAATATAATTTAATTTGAATGTAATATAGAACTAGTACAAAAGATTCGTTTCAGTTTCTTATTATAATTAATGTATTTAATACTATAGGTAGGGATATTGTTTTAACATATGACTTGAGCTCCTGTAGACTAAATCGTACGGGAAATCCACTCATGATGATATACAGTAGAACACCTAATTTGGGACACCCCTATTCAGGGGACACCCCTGTTCAGGGGATGTCCCTATTCAGGGGACACCCCTATTAAGGGGACACTTTTCTGTGAAACAAGGGGAAATATATCTTTTAACACTACAGCCAACCCCTATTAAGGGGAAACCCTTATTAAGGGAATGGGGACACTTTCTAAGTGTGCAAAATGGTCAAATCAATCCAATTGAACACCTATTATTATGGGATACTTATTTTTTTTTATTGTATCAAAACAACTACAGTAGTCTCAAAATATTAGAAAAAATCTATCAAATTTATATTTTGACAACTTTTGAGCAATAAACTTAACACCAAAAAAGAATTTTTCCCTTTTGTAATCTTTAGAATGTGTTACTTCATATAAATACAATCTTGTTAACTTATGTTTTGTGTGTTTTCACTACCGGTACTGTAGGCTAATGTATACCGTATAGCTACACCCTTGCTTCTACTTAAGCCGTTAATACTCTATTCATGCTATTCTATCTTGTACATCCAATAGAAAGCTCAATATGTGAAAAAAGAATATTTCACCATTAATATAACATTAATATGGCACCACACATTTGAACACATGGTCGTCAAGATAATGTATTTACAAGAAAGAAAAAAAAAAGATGGTGGCTATATAGAATACAAATCTGCCACCATTTTCAAAATTGGACACATACACACACATTATATATATTTAATATATATTACCTTAATACTGCCTCCGCTACACCCCTGATATATAATACATATATAGATATATATATATATATATATATATATATATTATATATA